GCGTGCCTGGGATCCGAACCAGCGAACCCCGGGCCGCCGCAGCGGAGTGAGCGCACTTAACCACTTGCGCCACCCCAATAAATTTTTTTTGAATGAATGAATTTATCACAAACAGAAATGAAAACAACCTCCCCTTGGATCCTAGACTCTTATTAAAGATTTAGGAAGAAAAGAGAAAGCCCTAGTGATTGAAAAGAACATCTAGATTCCAGAGGAATTTGTGGGATTTTCATTGGGAACAGAGATGACAGATTAATCAACTTTTTAAAATTGCTTTTATTAAAATGGAATTGAAGCAAAACAATATATATAATATGTGTTAGATAGAGTAACAATAAAATGAAGATACTATGTGCCCAGCTTAAGAAATCCTCAGATCCTCTTCAGTCATGGAAGTTTATTGCAAAGGTCCAAGGGCACATGAGATCACACTGAACATCACTTCCTCCCTAGCCACATTGTTACTTGGAGTCCCCAAAGGTCACACTAGGATGTCAAGAAGCCTCATGAGGAAGTGGAAAAATAGCTTAACATTTTGTGAAATAAATCTGATCTAAAGTTATCTGCTCTCTGTTTTAGCTGCCATATCCTCATCCCAGGAGAGTGTGGTAATGACACAAGTCACCATAGTTGCAAATCCTGAGAAGCATGCTTGGAAACCCAAGAGAATGTGCTCAGGGACTGTGTGGGCTGTCAGGAGATCAGCTTGACCTCCCGAGTTGGAAGAGGGCTGGCAGGCTGAGTGGAGGCTTAATTCTTGAAGTAGGAGTTCCTCTGAGATGAGAGAGTGGTTAATAAAGTCTGGTCAGGTTTGGTCTTTGCCTTTTTAAAATCATTTTTCACAACCATATTGAGTTCTGGGTCCCTCAAGAGGAATGGCAGATGCTTGTGCTTCAGGCCGTCTCTGAAGCAAATAGGTACAGATGGCCTGGGGCACGTACGATGACAGCTAGCTGGCCTGCGCCAGCTTCTCCAGAGTACCTCCCCAGAAATGGGGCCTCTGGAGTGTAGAGTAAACTGTCGCTAAAGCAGCCTCAGCTGTTCTCAGAGGCTTCTGATTTGCCCTCATTCAGTCCTCTGCATGCTGAAATATCCTTCCAAGAAACAAAGGGAGGGGAACACAGCAGGTCAGACCTCTTCCCTCTGGAGGAGAGCTGGGCTTTGTCTTCTAGGCTGCTCCCCTGCCATGCAGGAGGCTGCATTTAACTGCTGTAGGCTACACTGGCTGGCTCAGAGCCCATACTCCCCAGCATTGAAGCCTCTGCGGCTCTGTCTCAGAACCTTGCCCACCACTGATATGGGCTGCAGCCAGCAGCAGACAGTTCCTACAAGGTATGACTCAGCTTGTGCTGGCAGAAGCCCACCACAGGGGCTGCCCTGCAGCTTTCTACTTCCTCCAGCCCCCTCTGATGTCTAGGGGACCACTTAGCCACAGAGGCTGCTTGTTAGTGTAGGGGAGCGAAATCCTCTGCAGACCACCCCAACCAGTGTCTCAGGGGGACACTTCTGGAACATTCTGCATGTTTCTCAGATGTCCCCGCAGAACTGAGCCCCTATTGCCTATAGCAGTGACCTCAGTAACACACGGTTTTAGTGTATTTTCCTCTTCCCTGTCTCACTATCCCCCCTGCTTCCTGAGACCATCTCCCAAATAAATCACCTGTACTCAAGGCTTTGTCTCAGGCTTTGCTTTAGGGAAGGCCCAAATTGAAAGATCAGCCGGTGCTCATATTCCAGCTAGTGCCAGGCCCTATGTAAACAAGTTGAGCGGCCTAGTAAAGAGGGGCAGCTGTCAGCCCACTCCAGCTAATGGTTGCCATGTGGATCTGCAAGCCGAGCATTGCTAGAAATCCAGGCTGTAATGGGAAATCTTTTTATCTTTAAATGTTAGCAACAAATTCAAAACTAAAAACATTGCACAGCATCCACCCTATGTGCTGACCGGATTAGGCTCACAGGCAGCCCATGTGGCATAGAGTATGGGCACCAACCCCATGAACAGTGGAGGAGGGAGGGACCAATAATGGGCTAGAACCCTAAGGATGGCAGAATGGGTGAGGGAGCAAAGAACAGGCTCCCTCCCAGACTTGAGAGGGTCTAGAAAGGGCCAGAACCTTCAGATAACACATCAGAGCTAACACCGTTGAATGTTTACCATGTACCCAGCTCTCACCCACATTATCTCAATCTCTCAAACTGAGGAGGCAGATACTGCTTCATTATCCCCATTTTAGAGGTGAGAAAACAGAGCTTTCAGAGCTTGCGATACATGTCGGATTCAAAATAAGTTCTCTTCACTATTTACACGTTGCAGCCTCCCTGGATTGCAACCCTTGATTCCAACAAAAGAAGCCAAGACCCTGAGGTTCTAAATTTGGGTTGATTTACAAGAATCTCTTTGCCTCAATTTACAGATAAGTCTCAAAGAGGGAAAGTTCTTTATAGAACAAAGCTAATAAAGGTAGAAGGAATGATAAAATAGAAAATCACCAGTATGCAATCCCTAACGAAATAATAGATCAAAGCTGGGTAGATCATAATTTAAATGAAAGTCTATTGGGAACTTGATAAGTCAAATCAAGTCACTTCCTGGAGTGAAGCAAAGCAAGTACTTATCACCTCCTATGATGTATTCTTGCCAAAAATAATAGAATTTGAGTCTGAACGAGCCTCTAGATCTACCAATTTACAGGAAAAGTGGGCGAGAGTGGGACATATTTAATGACACCACAGGGATACACTTAGGCAAATCTAGAATGTGAGAAATTTTAGGGCAAATGACCTAAGTTTTTTCAACAAATGGCAAAGAAAAAAAGAAAGGGAACTATTAAGTATTTTTAAAGAGACTTAAGGGACATCAACAAAATGCAGTGTGTGACTCTTGTTTGGAACCTGATTCAGACAGATCAACAAAAAGACATTTTGTGATAACTGAAGGAAATTGAACATCAACAGGGTTTAGAACATGCTACTCCAAAATATGGCACCTTGGCATGTTGAATATTTTAAGCTGAAGGAATCTGGGAAAATGGCAGATGCTGGATGGACCTCTAACCTTCTCCCATGAAGCAGGTCACAAGACCCTTGTATTAGAGGTGCCATCCTATACCCAGAGGAAAGGAGCATGCTTATCTCTGAAGACTGAGAGACACTCCCTTATCTCTTTCAACTGAGAATTGGAATGAAAAGGCCTAAGTTTCCCCCAGCTTACTACACTTAGCTCATACCCGTTTCTCGTATCACATTTTTCCACAACTTTCCACTCTTCATCAAGCCTAGTATAAGAATACTCAGGTTTAACTGTTTGTGTCTTCATTTCCTTATTAAGGCCCCTATGTCACATAAAACATATTAAATAAATTTGTATGCTTTTCTTTTGTTAATCTGTCTTTTGTTATAGAGCCCTAGCTGGGTACATTAAAAGGATAGAAGGAAAAAGATATTTTTCCTCCCCTATAACATCATCTATTATTAGATGATATTTAATAATAATTAAGAATTACTATTAATTTTGTTAACAATGATAATGGTGCTGTTACATATATGTTTAAGTCCTTACAGTTTTTCTGGAAAACGAAATGGAACACTTACTACGTGAAAATTTCTATACCTCAATATCAGTCTTTTGTGGAAAGGCAAGCTTTATTTCAAAGCAACCTGAAAAGACCAGTCAGGGAGTCCACAGCTACAAACTGGTAGGAGGGAGCACAAAGTTACAAGTCCATTTGGCAGGGTCTTAGTCGGGAGTCTTGCCAATTCCTGCTGATTGCCCAACATCTGCTCAGTTTCCTCTTCAGGGTGAAACTACAAAGGTAGACTTGAAGAGCCCATGACGTCTTTGTTATCCAAACACGCCTATTTCAGGAAAGAGGACACTTGGAGTCAACTTAATTCAGGGAATCTGCTTCATTATTAAAATAAATATTTACACTGAGAATACAGTTAACTTAGTAGCTTTCTTCACATTTTCACATTTTTGAAAGAGCCACAGAGGTTTCATTCATGTTTTAAGCAGTTGAGTTGGTAAAGATCCTGTCTCCATTTCACAGGAAATGGATTACATTCAATTACTCCTCACAACAGCCAACTGGAAGATTATTCCATTGCTTTTGAAGCACTGGTTGGGTTGGCATCTGCGATGGTAGCCAAATAAATGAGATTTCTATGTAATACATGCTGGTACCTATGGGTAAAAAACAGGCAAAAATTAGAGGCTTGTTTTTACTGAACATGACTGGAAAACTGGAAAAGAATTTACCCACTCCAGTGGAATGGCTCATCCATTGATTGAATGACTCACCGTTATCAACCTTCTTGTTTAACACATTCAAGCAAAATATATCCAGAATCTCACTTGTTCTCACTTATCACTTCCATACCTCTCTAGGCCAAGCCACTATCACTTCTTAATTAGACTACTGTACTGGACCAGTCTCCTAACTGGTCTTCCTGCTCTACCTTTGCACCCCTACTTTATTCTCCACATAGCAGCCTGAGTGATCATTATACAATTAAGTCAAGATCATGTCATACTTCTGTTTAAAACCCTCCAAAGCCTCCCATCTCATTGAGTAAAGCTGAGCCCTTCTCCTGGCCTGCGAAGCCCTGCATGACTGAGGCCTCTAGTTACCTCTCTGATCTCATCTCCTACCACTTTCCCTTTGCTCACTGAGTTCAGGTCACAGTGGCCTCCTTGCTGTGACTTGAAGATATCCAACAGGCTTCAGCCTGGGGGCTTTTCCACCTGATGTTCTCTCTGCTTCACATATCTGCATAGCTGGCTCCCTCACCTCAGGTGTCTTCTCAAATGTCACACCAGATACCCCTGTATAAAAGAGTGCCCCTCCCCCAATTACCCTGCTTTATTCTTATTCGAAGCACTTATTAGTATGTGCCTAATTTTATGATTTCCTCCCTCTAGATTCTAGAGTCTAGAATGTAAGCTCCATGAGAGCAGAGCTGGTATCTGTTTTGATACTGATTTCCCAGTAGCTGAAACAGTGCCTGGTACTCAGTAGTACTTATAAAATACTGGTGAACAGATTTAAAGAAGGGAAGAGACACTTCCATGATCAATGAGAGCTTACTGTAGTAGTGATTCTCAATCAAGGGGTAGAGCTCCCTACACAGGAAGACAAATCAGACTAGGGGGCAGGAAGTATGGCCTGTGCAATGTGAAAAAACCCACTAGGAGATTTTGATACCTTTCTTACCCAGAGGTTGAGAATCACACCAAATGGAATGTTTTGCAACTATTTTCCATATAGAAAAATGAGAAACTGTTTACTATAAACTGTAAAAAAGTAAATTACCAAATGCCAGAGTCAAATGTAGAGACTTACCCAAAGATGGATATCTCTACTATTCCATTAAGCAGTTCAGTGAAATATTGGAGGTGATTTTTTTAGGGTATGGGAAAAACATGGCTTTCTTTTTTTTTTTTTTTAATTTTATTTATCTATTTTTTTCCCCCAAAGCCCCAGTAGATCGTTGTGTATCATAGCTGCACATCCTTCTATTTGCTGTATGTGGGACGTGGCCTCAGCAAGGCCGGAGAAGCGGTGCGTCAGTGCGCGCCCGGGGATCCGAACCTGGGCCGCCAGCAGCGGAGCGCATGCACTCAACCGCTAAGCCACGGCCGGCACAAACATGGCTTTCTTAAGCATGTTTTCAGTAACAACGAAATAATATATTTTTCTACAACAAATGGGACATAATTCCTGGACTACATTTAGAAATGAGACTGACCATTTTCTCTCATTTTGGCATATGGCTAGAGAAGATATTAAATTACTGTGCAGAATTCACGTTTGGCCCAACTTGGAAATCTTTCATTGGTCTTTGCGTGTGTTACAGACTGATTGCAAGTTGGAAATGGGAGGGAACTCAGCAGTCAAATGGTCTGATTCCCTCCCTTAACAGAAAAAGGATGAGCCAGATCCATGATGAGAAAGGAGTCACCGCTCTCATCTACTGAGACTAGTTTTCCGTCTGCTCCCCTCCCCATCCCTGTTGTCATCAGCTGACATGGCTTCACGTGAAGAAGGCTTTGCAATGAACATAATTCAAGTTTTCATGAGAGAGCCACGTCTGACTCCAGGCTTCACAATGTACTGTCTGTATGGTCTTGGGCAGCTAAGTAACCTCTCTGAGCCTCATCTGAGATGAATCGCCCAAGACTCCTAGTTCAGGACAGCTGCTTTATTACCATACTGGCTTCCGCTCCACTCAAAAGTCGGGGGAGGCGGGAGGGGACTTACTGGACGCACTCATTCGCTCGGCCTTTGTTCTGATACTCCACGATACAGCGGATCAGCTGGTCATTCTCCTCCAGGAGCTGAAAGATTAGAGAAAGGGTCAGCGCAGAGCGACATGGGGACAGCGGGGAGCACTGCCCCTCCTCCCAAATGCCGGACTCAGCCGGACTCATGCCGGACTCTCCTGCCTCAGCGTCTTTGCTGACTTCGTCCCCATCTCACTCCACACCGCTGCAAGTCAACACCCTACGCACACACGTCTCAGTGGGGATGCTGCTCACTCCAGGAAGCTTCCCGTACCCGGAGCCCTTCGGGATCTCGACTTAAGAAACCCCTGTCTCTGCTCGCGTTAGCGCTCACCCGCTGGATCGTTTCCTGATTGACTTCTGCCTTCCCTCTCAGCCAGTCCGGTACAAAAGCCACCGACATGCCGTCAAGCCAGGTCTGAACCCGACCGCCGACCGCTCGGACCCCAACGCATCTAGACCGGAGCCAACCAGCAGCTCCGGACGCACTAGGGCCGCAGCAGGGACCCACGATGGGTGGGGCCTACGCTCTCAATGTTGATTGGGCCCTCCCTCCTGGAGGGCGGGAAACAGGAGGAACGTCATTTGTGATTGGGCGGGCAGGAGCGTCCTCTTCGGGCCCTCGCGCGTGGGCTCAGGAGCTGTTTGCCGATCCTTTGCGTTTACGCCGTCTGGGAAGTTAACCTCGGGGGCGGGGCTCGACGTCTCCTCCTCGCGTTTTAGGCTGTTGGCATTGTCTGTCTGCAGGAACACCTTGCCTGGGGTCACGAGGGAATCGTGGTTGGAACTCAGATATCTGGCTCCAAGTCCACTCCTCTTTCGACATCACTCTGGTGCCTCCAGGCCTGCGTCTGAAGCGTGAACCCTGGATATTGCCTCCTGCCAAGCCAAACCCTGCAGGGCCAATGAAAACACTGGTGTCAGCTTTACTCTTTGCTGAGGGAGAAACTTGCATATATGCCTGTTTTTCCTTTGGACAATAATAATGCTTATTAGGTTTACAACTCTAAAAAGTACTATTATTTTCTCCATTTTACAGATGAGAAAACAGAGGTTAAGTAACGTGCCCAAGGTCTCATGGCAACTAAGGGCAAAGCCAGTATCCGAACACAGGCAGTCTGGTTTTAGAACCCTCGCTCTAAACCACTACTCCATACTGCCTGTGCACCATACTGCAGAGGGAGTTTGCTGCAAGATACAGGGAGGAAGCTGGGCCTACCCTCCTGGGCCACATAGTTACTGCTGGCAACCACTAAAACTCTAAAGTAGTTGTCTTCTCTCTTGTCCAGCCCATCCACGTTGGATACAGAACAGGTTGGTTTTCCCTGCAGCCCAGAGTGAGCAGCAGCCACTTCATTTAGGAGGGAGATCTTGGAAGCCTTTACTTCTCAAAAGGGGTCTGGGGGCAGTTTTGCCTCCTAGAGCTTCATTTCCCTGAAGCAGTGGCCCTGATCCAGAGCAGGCTCATCTGCTTTGCTGGGGTCTCCCTCCACAGTCCCCTTATTCAACTCTATGAGGAGGCAGCTTTCATCCCATTTCACAGAGGGGTAAACCCAGTAAGAGAAGTGGGGCAACATGCCTGAGCTGGGCCAGGACTCAGGGCTTCCTAGTTCCCAAGCCTGTACTGTTAACCCCAAACCAGGGTCCCTCTCCAGGTAAAGCCCCCACAGGTTCTGCAGAAAACACAGTAGGCAGAAGGGGAACCATTAGGAGCAGGGTGCAGGCCTTGCTTAGTCCTACTCAGCCCTATTCCTGTTGAACAAATGACAATAACATGAGATGGTGTTAAGGTGGGGGAGGTTACAGGGGACCAACCTGGTCCATCATACAGAGAAAGCCCTCAAGGAGAAAAAAGGTCTCCGTATGAAGAGGAAGTGGAGGTTAAGCAGGTGACAGATGCCCAGAGTCTGGACTCTCTTCCAGGAGCAATGGGAGTAATGGATGATTTTAGGCAGAAGAGTGATGAAGTCAGAGATGCATTTTAGAGTTTTCCTGTCTGTAATATGGTGAAAGGCAGGTAGGGCAGCCAGATGAGATGCAAAAAGAACAGCGAGAAGACTGCTGGTGTGCAGGCCAGAAATGGTGGGAGCAATGAAAAAAGAAGTGTATACATTTGAAAGACATTAGGAGTAGACTTGACAGGCCTTAGTGACTTCATGGGGGAGGGAGGGAGAAGAAGGAATGAGGGATGACTTCCAGGTTTCTGGCTTGGGCCACTGAGAGACTAGTGATGCCATTTATCGAGGTAGGAAACAATGGAGGAGCTGGACCGGAAATGAGAGTGATAAATTCAGCTGTGGACATGTGCAGTTTAAGGTGATGTCAAATGGAGATGTTGAAGTTTGTGGCTGGCTATTTGAGTCTGGAACTCAGGGCCGACAGCGAGGCTGGCAGTATAAGCTTTGAGAAGCATCACTTATGGAAAATGATACAGTGGGTAAGACTGCTCAAGGAGAGTGTATTGGTTTCCCTCATGGCAGAGGAAGAGAAGCTACAAAGGGAAATGAAGGGAGAAAGAGATTAGAGATATAAGAGGAAGTCCAGGAGAGTGTGGGGTCATATAACAAGAAAAAAGAGTGACTGAGAAAGGACGATAGGACAGCAATGACAAATGCTGTTGAAAGGTCAAGCAAGATAAAGACTAGATCTTTAATGTGCTTAATAAGGGAAATTTCAGTGATGTGGTGAGGCAGCAGCAGGGAGAGATGAAGCAATGGAGTCTTCAAACATCCTTGAAGCTCTTTTCTTACCCTTTCACATCCAGTTCATCACCAAGTCCTGTTGATTTTGCTCCTACATTCTCTGCAGACTGCCCAGTTCTCTTCCTCTTCACCAGCACTTCAGCACACACGCCAGCTCCACCTTCTTTTGCCCAGACAACTGCATTGGCTTCCCAGCTGGGCCCGCCACAGCTTCCAGGAGACTTCTCCATTTTGATCTTAACTTCAGCAGCCAAAGTGATTTTTACAAAATGCAAATTTGATCAGTTTTCTACTGTTCTAAACTTTCCACCACGGCCTGCAAGATCCTACATGGTTTTACCTCTTCTGTTCTCTCTAGTGGCTCTCACTCTATTCCTTTACTCTCTCAACACTGAGTTTCTCTTCTTCCTTTCCTTATTTTGTGGCAAAATATACATAAAATTTACCTTTTTAACCATTTTTAAATGTACAGTTCTGTGACAGTTAGTACATTTACATTGTTGTGCAACCATCACCACCATCCATTTCCAGAACTTTTTCATCTTCTCCAACTGAAATTCTGTGACTATTAAACACTAACTCCCCATCTCCCCCCTCTGGGTTTCTTTTCACCCCTCAAAGGAGACCTGCTGTCTTCCACACCCATTTCTTTATACATACTGTTCCCTCTGTTTGAAACACTCTTCTTCTCCCCTTCGCCTAGTTAGCTACTACTCGGTCAGTGTCATGTTCTCAGGGAAGCCTCCTTGGACCTGCAAGTCCAGGCCGGAAGTTCCTGTAAATTCTCTCAAAAACCTTGCTCCTCTCTGAAGAGCACGTATCTCAGTTTGTATTTAAATACGTGTTGTGTAATTGTTTGATGGGTACTCTCGCCGGGTGCCACCCGGCGGCTAAGGTTGCGGAGGAGGCGGCGGGGGGCTCGGCCCTCCCCTCTTAACATAGTTTTGCGTGTCAGGAGTTCCTCGCTGTGTCTCCAGTGCCTAGTATAGTGTCTGGCAGAGAGCAGGTGCGCAAAATTTGTTGAATGGATAAAGGGACGAACTCTGTTTCCCAGTCGCCCTTCAGCCGGCCATCCATCAGTGAGTGCCTCCGCCCCCAGACTGGAGTGTGTCCCTCTGGAGTCGGACTTTGGCACCTGATCCAGGCCGGCAGGAGGCTCTGCTCTTTGGTTTGCCTATCTCGGGCCTCCCGCCAAGCCGTGCAGAGAGCGGGATCCACGCCCCCGGGCGTGTCGCGCCGTCACGCAGAACCTCCCTGCCTCCGCACGTCAGTTCTATCCACTACGCCAGCAGGACACGAGCTTAGACCGCGAAGCCTCCTCGCACCTCTGGACGTGGGAATTACAGGCTTGGACCCCAAACCCACGCAGGTGAGAGCCGGGAGATGGGAAGAATATTAGGAAATGCGCGCCCCAGCCACGCCCCCTCTACTTTTGGGTCGCAGCCCTTTAAGAACCACTTCATTCACGACTCCGTCGGGACCGGGAGGTGGAGGCGCGCCAGGATTGGCCGGTTCTGCGGATGTCGCTTAGCAGCAGCGAATGGAGGTTCAAGACACGCGCATGCGCACCGTCGCCTACCTGAGCCCAGGCAGCGGGTGTCTAGGGCGGGTGCCACCCGGCGGCTAAGGTTGCGGAGGAGGCGGCGGGTGGCTCGGCGGCGCTGACTCCCAGAGGCCGCCGTTGGGGCGAGGTGAGGGCTGCCGGGCAGAGGCGGGCGCCGCGGCCCGCTAGCCGAAAGCAGGCGGGGTTGGGTGTGGCGCAGGGCGGGCCTGGAGATGGAGGCGGCCCTGGGCCCGCCCCGCCCTCAGGTCTGGTTTAGCCCCACGGGCTTTGTGGGGCTTCCTGGAGTCATCTGTCCCCCTTTCTTCCTTCGGCTGCTTTGCGCACTCCGGGACGCCCCGAGGCGCGCGCCTGCGGGAACCTTCAGCTGACAGATGCGCGTCGAGAGCTGCCCCCAGTGGGAGGAGACAGGGTGTGTCCAAATGAGAGAGGGGGCGATTGTTTCCTTAATTATCCACGAAGCTCACGTTAGAGTATTGTTTAATTTTAATAGCAAACTTCCTTAGCGTGCAGCTCTCATAAGACTTGGTTTACCAAATACTGGGTGCACTGGACTAGCTTGTCTGAACATCAGGTGTAGGAGGTGATCTACATTTGTGTCCATTATAGGCTCGCATCTAGACTTCCAGAACCAGAAGGATAGACCACTCCGTGAAAAATCAGGTGTGTGGAAATCAAAGCTACGAAAGAATATTTCCAGCGGTGAAAAATAATTGGTGAAATTTGTGACGTGGTCAGAAAAAAAATAAACCTCAGACCGACGGATAGGGTAAATCGTCATTAAATTTTATAAAGAAGGGAATTAATCTTGATAAAGATAATTTTAGTAAAATGAAAATGTAAGTAATTGAAAGTGGTTTAATATTGCTAAATAGAATTAAATTGACATAATAGAATTTGCTCTGGAAAATCCTTTTTAGACAATGTTGTTATAGCTCTAAGTGTTTGTGTTTACAACACAGAGGACATCTTAGGGTCCCAAAGTTGTTTATTCTTAGAAGGAGCCTCAGAGATCAACTGCATCCAAAAGGTGATTGATGGTCAGAGAGGAAAACTGACTTATTCAAAGTAATACAGTGAGTAAGCAGCAGTTGTAACATGCATAAATCTAGGCCTTGGCTCCTTCTATTAACAGGTCTCTGAGTAGTTTTGAGTGTTAGTGCTCTAGCAGAAAGAATTGTTTTAAAGAAGTAGAGCAGGTGTAATCCCAAAGATTGGATTTAGAGAAGCGGAATGTAGTGGAAAGATCATAGGCTTT